CTCATTCATTCTTTGTATTATTATTTATTTATTTATTTATTTATTTATTTATTTATTTGTTTTTCGAGACAGGGTTTCTCTGTGTAGCCCTGGCTGTCCTGGAACTCACTCTGTAGACCAGGCTGGCCTCGAACTCAGAAATCCACCTGCCTCTGCCTCCCAAGTGCTGGGATTAAAGGCGTGCGCCACCACCGCCTGGCTCATTCTTTGTATTATGAAAAGTTAAGTGTGGGGTTCTTTTTGTTTTGTTTTTTGTTTGTTCGTTTATCTTTGTTGTTTTGAGACACGGTTTTTCTGTGTAGCCCTGGCTGTTTTGGAACTCAATCTGTAGACCAGGCTGGCCTCGAACTCAGAGATCCACTGCCTCTGCATGCCCCTCTCCTCCCCACCCAAGTTTTGTGATTAAAGACATGTACCACTATATTGGCTTACTTTTTAAAAATGTTTAACTTTAATATAAACAATTATAACTCTTGGTTATGCATAGAATATCTTCAAATGAATATTTCAGAGTTTAAAGGACTGGTACTTCAATATTTGAACATATTTAAATGGTAACCACACTACATTTAATGTTTATTATAGTCAGCAAAGTAAGTGCTAAGCTTGTGTTACCTGAGATATAGATCACTGGCAGAGCACTGATCAGCGTGCATTGGAAATCCCTGGTTTTATCTCCTGCACCAAAAAGTAGGCCAAAAGTTTATGTAGAACAGGTAGCAGACTTGCAAGTGGATTAGGAAAGAAAATCTCCAAGTTGAAATTCTAGACTCTTAAAATAGTACTAGTGTGATTTTATATGAAGCTTTCTGTAGAGTTGAAAGATAATTTTTCTAAGAAATATTTTAATTTAAATGAAAAGAGGACACTAAGAACTGCTTAAATCATTGAATTAAATTCAGAAAATGAATGTAGAATGTAATATAATCTAGACATTCTTTGACAAAGTACCATGTTCTTAGAGCTGTATTGGTCTCTGACAAATAGGTCGGGCTTATTATTTTTGAAAAACATTCACTATTAACAACTTATTGGGTTGCTTATTTATTGTAGGTAAGTTATATTAGTAAGGTGTTAAAACGTGATTTAATATAGTGTAGAATAAGTTGTTTTGTGGCATTCTTGATTGAGTAGTACTGGGAAGTAAGTATGTCAGTAAAAGAGAGAAAGATGGTGGGGGAGAGAGTGTGTATGTGCACACAGGTGCGCATTTACATGTGCTTTATTCCGCCCATAGTTAAGTTAATCTCTCGCTTCTTCCCTCCCTCTTCCCCCTCCCCTGTTAGTCTTTTCTACAGCTGGCTATGCTCTCCCTTGGGTGGAGCTGGGGACCATCCCCAGGACCTTCCTTACACATGCCAAGCGGAGATGCTCTGCATGAGAGGCTTAGCTCTGACTTTTTTGACTTGCTCTTTTGTACTAGCCTTTTGAGAGCATAAAATTGGTGATATGGGGTGTCTTTGTTTCTCTTGTTAAATTAATATCATTTCATAATTAGATGTAGCATCTACATCTTGATAACCTTTAGCAGATATAAATAAATTCCCTTTTGCTTTTTGAGTGTCTTATTTTTAATTATGAGGTAGTGCTGAATATAGTCTAATGGATATTTCATGTCTGGCCAGACAGTTCCTCATTTACGCTCACTATTTTTTTTAATGTGGGAAATCCATCCATTCTTCCCTCCCCCTCCCTCCCTCTCTCTCCCCCTCCCTCCCTCCCTCCTTCTCTCTCTCTCTCTCTCTCTCTCTCACACACACACACACACACACATACACACACACACACACACACACACACACACACACACACACACACACAGAGTATATTGTTTTAATTTTACAGGCTAGAAGTTCAAAATGGAGCTGTTAAGGCATAGTTCCGTGGATGGTTCTGAGGAAGGATTTGTTCAGACACATCTCCTAGCTGCTTCTAGTTGCTTGGCTTGTGATGGCTAGCTCCTGTCTCATACAGTTTTATTCTGTGCATGCCGTAGTCTCAGAGACATTCTTCACTTTGCACTAGGGCTCACCTTAGTAACCTTAGACTCATTTACAGTTTAGGCAGTAAAAATACAGTAGTACCACATTCTCATTCACTTTAAGGAAAAACTGTCAATCAGTCACTTTTGTGGCCCTGTATAGACTAGGATGCTTACTAATGATCAGCATTGCTTGGCTTTTGGATATGAGTTTTTGATAATGATCATTGGGTTTTGGATGTGAATTTTTGATAATGATCTTTACCTGTTGATTAGTATTATCTCTTAAAGAAATATACTGCCTAGTCATTTATAGATAGAAGAAAAAACTATGAAAATTAGAAAATACTTTAGCAGAAAAAAAGATGAGCCAACGAGGAGCTGTAACTGTAGCTGTAGCTTTGCAGTTAAGACAGCGCATTGGCTGCTCTCTCCGAGGGCCTGGGTCTGGTTCCCACCCACGTGGTGGGTCCGAATTGTCTGTGACACTGGTTCTAGGGTATCCAACACCATTTCCTCGCCACTCTGCATGCATGGAATCCACATAGATATTTGGTTACATGCACATAAAATAAAAATAAATATTTTGAAAAAACATTTGACTCACTTCTGTGTATGTATTATGAAAGGTGAAATTTAATTGAGAATTAAAGGATTAAATTTGAATCACAAGGAAAAAGATGCGGGTAGAGTGCTTAGTCTCAGTTGTCATGTGAAGAGGCCTAGAATCCCTGAGAGGTGGGCCTCTTGGATATGCCCGTGGATGAGTTTATCATGATTAGGTTAATTATGCAGAAAGACCTACCCACTGGGAGTAGCCCCATTCCCTGGACAGGGTGTGGGTCTATATAACTGGGAAAAAGGAGTGTGCCAGAGTTTGTCACGGCTCTGACTGTGGGTGTGATATGACTAGCCACTTCAACCCCTGCTGGTTCAACCTCCCCTTCAGCCTCCTCATCATACTGTTTCAAAAACAAATCTGCTCTCTCCAAGCTGATGTTTGCCAGAGTATTTTATCACAGCAACTGAAAAAGTAACTCATCAGATGTAAATTAACCTTGTCCAAAACGTCAAAGACGTGATACTAGGGGAGAAAGCAGCCAGACTGCAATGCAGACGCACAGCAGGAGCAGTCTCAATGAGAAAGCCGTTCTTTGGCAAACAGATAGATTGGATAGGACTCTAACAAGATTGACCAAAAAGGAGGATGTACTGCAACGTGTGCAGTGTTTTAAGTTGTGTAGCTTTCACCACAGTGAATGTTAGAACATTTTCATTAGTTCATAGAAGAACCCTATACTCTAAAGCATTCATTTCTTGCTTTCTCCAAACCCTCAAACGGAGCTGGAGAGATGACCCACTGGTTGGTTAAGCGCTGCTCTTGTAGACAGTGACTTGGGTTTGCTTCCCAGCACCTATTTTTTTCGTGGACTTTTCACGCTCCTGAAGCTTCTCATTTTTAACTCCCGTATTGAGAATAAAAGGTAGCTTCGGTCCCTCTTCATTGTCCTGCATTGATGTTCTGGTGGGCGTTGTTTTGTCACTTCTATATTATGTGACTAGTAAATATGAGAACTAAGACGTAGTAAGGATTAAGGTTTTTATTGTCATTGTTTTAAATTTATATGATCTAAATTGTTCACTTTTTAATTTTCATTAAACCTGTAGTTAAATGACTTTTATCTCAATTATTTAAATTCTTTTCTTTTTATTTAAAGATTCAAAATGGATAGTATAGAAGAACCTCAGAAAAAAGTCTTCAAGGCTCGAAAAACAATGAGAGCGAGTGACCGCCAGCAGCTTGATGCTGTGCACAGAGTCAAAGAGGAGCTGCTGAGGACGGACGGGAAGCTGGTGAATGGGAACCATGAGAACGGAGACCTGGATCCCACGTCACCTTTGGAAAATGCAGACTGTGTTCAAGAGAGAGAAGAAGTGAATGGTATCGATGGCGTTTGTTTGGAATCTGAAGAAAGTAAAACAGAATGGAAAGAAACACCTTGTATCCCCAATGTTGGTGTAAAAAACAAGCAAGAAGATTTGAATAGTGAAGCTTTGTCCCCCAGTATAACTTCTGATCTTGCTTCTAAAGTAACCACTGAACCAGCTTCTGGTACCCCAGCCTCTGATAACCCAAGCTGTGGTACCCCAGCCTCGGATAACCCAGCCTCCGATAACCCAGCCTCGGATAACCCAGTCTCTGGTGATCTGACTGCAGGAGAGCTGGCTACTAGAGTACCAGCTGCCGATGACTCTGCCTGTGAGGAGCCTCCCTCCAGTGATGCCTCCTCTAGTGATCCCTCTTCCAGTGATCCCTCCTCTAGTGATCCCTCCCGTAGTGATCCCATCTCTGGAGATACTGCTTCTGAAGAACCCGCCTCTGATGATCTTGTCTCTAGTGAGTCCACCTCCGGTGAACCAGTTTCTGGTGAGCCAATGTCTCATGAACCAGCTTCAGGTGAACCAGCTACAAGTGAACCACCTTCAGATGAAGCAGTCATGGATGCAGTGGCATCTTGTGAACTGGCCCCTGGGGAATCAGCTTTGGATGATTGTGCCACCTCTGGTGATTTACCTTCTGAGGATCTGCCTTCTAGTGAGGAATCCCTTCGTAAGTCTGTCTGCTGCAGACTGGCTTCTGGTGATCTGACTCCTGGTGAGCTCACTGTGGAGTCAGCCACTGACACTTTGAAACCAAGTTCAGTGTCAGTTTGTGAACCAGGTCCTGACACTGACAAGACAGAGCAGGGTAGCAATAAGAGTGATGATTGTTCAGACAAGAGTGAAGACAATGAAAACTTAGACCGAATTCAAAGAAAAGACTCATTTGATGAGGGAAATAAAGTGAACAGCAATGTTGGTGACAAGGAAGAAACTGTAGAAACACATAGTGCAATTATTTGTTCTGATCTACCTCCAGAAAATACGAAGAAGGTAGAGGAAGATCCTATTGCTGAGCCTGCTCTTGAAGAAGAAGCCATCTCCAGCAGCATGGAAGTTGACCAAAGCGAAAAGGATGGGCATGAAAGTCCTGCAGAACTTGTAGAAGCTGTCCGTGAGGACCCCGCAGAAGAGGACAAGAAGGGTCCTGCCTTGGACAACACGGATTCTATGGAAACAGATGAGATCATCCCTATTCTGGAAAAACTTGCACCCACTGAGGATGAACTGAGTTGCTTTTCAAAAACCTCCATCCTTCCAGTTGAAACAAGTCAAGATTTGGAGGATAAAATGGAGGGTTCTTTTGGCTCACCCTCAAAACAAGAAAGTAGTGAGAATTTGCCAAAAGAAGCCTTTTTAGTTCTTTCTGATGAAGAGGATATTTCATGTGGAAAAGATGAGCCTGAAGTCCTAGCACAGACTAAGATGGGCTCTCCAGGTTAGCTGATTAAGGACTTTTATTTCCTCTAATAAACTATCCAATACAACATGTTCAATAATTTCAGTATTAGTGATCCAGGAATAAGATTTTATAGGAATGCAGCACAGGATATGTTGGCACAAGGGGAGAAGCGGGGGACCGAGGAGGTCAGAGTTAACTTTGGCTACAGAAGTAGTTTGAGGCTAGCCTAGGCTGCATGAGACCCAGTCTCAAACCATTAGCAAAACAAATAGAAAAAAAATCTTATTTTTACAAAATTAGAACTAATGTGTCTTAGTACATCTGGAGACGAGCTGTTGCATATTGCTAAATGATAACTGATACTTTCTAAATGATTAAAATCATAGTCTAAGGAGACTCTAACCTAGTATTTCCTTTTCTGGGAAAGTTCAGCCGTTAGTTAGTGGATATATATTTGTTCTAACATCATTATGCGTTCCGTCATAGACATTCTTTAGCTGCTATTAGATCCTTAATTCACTTTCAGATCAAGCCCTCCAGGTATATGTACAAAGCTAGCGCCTTGTTTCTTCTCCTGTTAAGTCTGGCTATTCTCATATTTCACGTAGAGTGTTAGCCCTCAACCTTCCCAGTGCTTGCAACCCCTTAATACTGTTCCTCATGAAGTGGTGACCCCATCATAAAATTATTTCTGTTGCTATTTTATAACTAATTTTGCTACTGTTTTTTATTATAATGTAAATATCTTATGTGCAGCTGACCCCATGAAAGGGTCGTTTGACCCCAAAGGGTTCGTAACCCATAGGTTAAGAACCATTAACTACATGAAAGATAGCATTTGCACCATTGTAGAAAATGTGTGGAAAAGGTAGATTTTCCTGAAGCCACATTCTCCTGGTGTATTTTGCAAGGTTGAAAATATGTTTATTGGCCTTTTGTATTTGCTTATATATGGATTGCCAGTTGCTTCCTCTTTTTCCTCCTAATAGGTATTTTTTTTTTCAAGTAATCTATAGGCCTTTGTGTTTGTTTGTTTTTGTGTTTCTGTTATCCTTACAGATTCATTTCAAAGCAAGGGGTTGGCATGCTATGGCCCATCAGGGTTTTGTACAGTTTAGTAGGGCAGAGGCAAGCCTGTTTGTTTATATATTACATGTAGTTATTGTTATTTCTACAGGACAGGAGTAAGTAGTATTGTGTCAGACTTGTGCTCTTTGGCTATTAAAAGAAAAGTAACTTCTTAAATGTAACACTGTCAGGAAGATATTAAATGCTTTATTTCAGTCCCCTCTCAAAGGTTTTGGCATTACCAGAACTATAAGATCCGGTCACCTCCCTGTAGTGATCCTATTGTCTAGTTCTGATGGACTGGAGCGCAGCTTATGGAAGTTACGACTGTGAAAACACGGTAACTTCGTAAGCTTTGTATTGGATGAGTTTTAGAAACCCCTGACACTGTCTGAAAGGACAGTTTCTGTACAGTTGTTTCTGTACAAGGACATTTGATTTTTATTTTATGTTAGAGAGATGACTCAATGTCAAATATTAATTTGCTACTCTAGCAGAGAACTGAAGTCGGGTTCCCAGCACCCACATGGGTGCGCCTCACAACCACCCGGCCACCCCCCCCCCCCCACACACACTCATTCTCTCTCTCTCTCTCTCTCTCTCCCCCTCCCTCCCTCCCTCCCTCCCTCCCCCCAAAAAAAGGCAGTTTGCACACTCCCTAAAGACTGAGCAAAAAGTTAAAGAGCCCTATTTCCTAGTCAGAATCTGCTAACATTTTTTCTTATCAGAGTTCTTTCTATGACACAGTGTAAAACTCTAGCATACATTCTAATTCTTGTAATCTATTCTAAAACTCAGTGTATATTCTAAGTGCCATGTATCTAGTAGGCAGGTCTGAAAAATGGTAATTCAGCATAGATTTTTGAGCTGCTTAGAATTTACCAGTATGTTGTTTATCATTATTTTGATAACTGTCTTTACTGCTTTAGTTTTCTTACATTTATTTATTGTTAGGTGGTCAGCGTCCATGTGAAGGTCAGAGGATAACGAGTCAGTTCTCTCCTTCTACCATGTACGGCTTGGGAATTGATGTCAGGCTTGCTGGCAAGTGTCTTTTACTCTCTGAGCCACCTTGCTGGCTGTGGTTTATTTTAATAACAGAAAGTAAAGAAAGCTGAATGATTTATAATAGTTGTTACTTATGATGGAAAATTAATAAGTAAAATTGTTGGCTTTGAAATCTAGTATTTTTTCATATTCAGTTTATTAGGCATAAACAGTTTGAATCTGAACTTGGTCTTTAACTTCTCACTGTGTGCTCCCATGTTCTCTGTAGTTCCTCTTTTGTGACTTCAGTTTTGTAAAACATTTGTTTGGTAGACCAAATGGTGACCAAAAATGTGAATTAATGAGATGTTCCTGACTTCCATAGAAAAATAAGGCTCCCTTCTCCACATTTATCCCCACAGAGGGAGAAAAGAGTGAGAAAGACAGCAAAGCCGAGGAAGAGGAGCGAGTGCCAGCCGAGGAGCCACCCATGAGAAGTACGCATGCCCAGCCCCTGCCTGCCTTAGCGTGTCCTCGGCCATGGGCTCCCGTCTCTCTCCACAGATGGTTGGAGCAGTCTAAATCTAAGCCACAATCACTGATGTTCATTAATAGCTCAGGGATCTTCGTATTATTTTGAATATTAATGGGTTTATTGTATTTGTCTATGTTAATCATTCTGCAGAGAGGACTTAGACGTACACTCTAAGGCACCAGTGTCTTAAGCCGCTCTTAAGTTTAGGGCAGGATTTGCCTTGCTGTTGTAAGTGAATTGCAATGTGGTTCTGTCTGCAGCAGATGCATAGAGAAGGAATGCTAGAACTGATGCCACCGACTTAGAAAAGGCTAGAAGCCAGGGTTTTATTTTGGTTTATTATGTCTATCTTAAAAAGTAGTAAAGTAGAACTATATTAAACAAATGCATAGATAGATGTGAATATATTTCTTTATTTACTATTCTAACAATGCTGAATAGTGTTTGAGCTCCTCCCTACCTTGTATCCTGAACAGTTTACAGATCAAAGAAAATAGGTTTATGGAGAAGCTTTGGTATAGCCATAGAAGGTGTGGAATATGAGTGATATAATTTTAGAAATGCTGAAAAGCCAGTATAAATTTTCAAATGACTTCATGAATGTTAACATTTGAAAAAATGTTTTAAGTAAAGTCTTTGAATGTCTGTTCTGTGCCAAATGTACACTTGTGGCATTAATTTTTCTATGTGTATGTATCAGAACTCTACTTGGCTATGTTAAATACCTCTTAGAGTAAGTACTGTTACTGCTCTAAAGGTCGAATGATTAGGGAGTGGCTCAGTCAGAATGACTTACTTGCACCTGTTTTTACAGAGGAAGAAGGATGAAATAATTAGTTCAGAATATACACAACTAATAGATATCTATGTCATAGGGATGGCTGTTGCATGTTAAAGTATTCCCTGGTGCTATGGAACTCAGCAGAGAGAAGAACATGGGAGGCTTCCTATCTGCCTGGCAAAGCTATAGACAGCTCTCTATCTTAATGTGACAGTTTCAAGAAGAATGCTGTCTTCAGTGTGCATTGCTAATTAGTTGGGAAGTTCTGTCATGCTAAAGTCATGTATTTCATCTTTAAAGCTGAGCATTGTATGCCTGCTGGTTCTTGTGATGTGAGCGTGCCCGGCCTTGCTGACTAGTCCAGAGGCCTGTACCTGAGACAGCGGACTCAGCAGTGCCGGTTGCTGTGTTGTTTTTCTCAGATGAATTTTCCAGACGAAAACGTTCTAAGTCAGAAGACATGGACAGTGTGCAGTCCAAACGCCGGCGATACATGGAAGAAGAATACGAGGCTGAGTTTCAAGTAAAGATCACAGCCAAAGGAGACATCAACCAGAAGCTTCAAAAGGTGGCGCACATTGCATTTCAAATGTGTCAAGAACAGCTGCATGCTGGGAGAGTTTTAGCATGATCCTGTTACTCTGTGTTCACCTTGACATAATCTAGTCAAAGCTTTAAGACAATGGCAAGCTATGAAATCTATGATAAATTGTATTCCTCTGACTATTTGGCTACAATATTTTTATTTTAAAACATGGTAGTGAATATTAAAATAGAAGGGAGCTATGACATTTCTCTATTATTATTAAAAAAATTAAGGTTTTTAACATTTTCTTTTTATATAAGCATTATTTTACAATGCAGAAGAAACAAACTTTATTTAGTAGACTTTACTGTCTATAATATTAAGTTGTTATATCCTAAAACCCCTTTTCCTATTAGTTTAAAGCATGATAGAGCCAAGGCTTTAGATGGATTAGGAGAAATGAATGTTCAGAGTAAAGATAGTTTTGAAACTTCCCTGTATGTTATGCTAGCATATAATATATGTTCAAAATAGTTAGTGTGATATGTATTTTTCAAAGTCTGAGAAAGGGGCGATGTCTCGGATGGTAGATAGCGTGCCAGTCTGAGGAGCAGTTCTCATCGGATGCCCTCACAGAAGCCAGGTGTGGTGCCGGTCACTTGGTCTTCTAGCTAGAGCACCGAGAAGCTAAGGGAGGCAACTTTCGGGGGGCCCAGGGGCCAGCCAGTCTAGCCAGTTGGCATACTTCCACTCAACCAGTATGAGATACTGTTTCAAAAACTGAAGAATCATGGAAGATTCCCAATGTTGACCTCTGGAATCCATGGGGACATTCATGAGCACACATACCTGCATGATACACCACACACATGTACTTTAACATGTTCAAATACCTTTCGTAGAGAGACATGAAACTCAGGCCTCTGTCTCTGGATCTCCCAATCTCCTTCCCCCATGAGACATTAGTTCATAGTAGCTTAGGCTGTACACAAGTTATAGCCCAAGTTGATCTTAATCTTGTAGGTGTCCTCCTGTGTCAACTTCCAGGTGATGTGAGTACAGGTGTAAGTCACCAAACATGATTCTGTTTTTCAGGGTCTTACGGACTTAGTTATAAATTAATAATCTGAAATTTCTTCCACTGATATACTAGTACAACAAGAACAAATATTTATGCTTTTTTAAAAAAGAAAAATTAAGAAATTATGCAATAAAAATGCTGTCACTGCCTAGTTTCTCTCTCTTGTGCATGTTGAGGTAGTCATGGATACAGTGCTTATAGAATTGTGAAGATGGACTTGTGAGGTGTGATGCACGCCTGTGGGTTGATGATCCGTCGCAAGAACAGAGTTCACAGGTGGCAAGGACAGACTGCCAGGGTCCTGTTTATTGTGGTCCAGGTGGAGTAATAGTGGAGCTTTGAATAAGCATTTAGAAATATTTTATCAATTCTGATACTGCAGTATCATTTTTAATGTATCTCACACTGTTTCCAGTCCTTAATAGGTTAGAAAAATCTTGAACTTGTTCTTTTTAACAAATTTTGTTTTTATGGTTTCTGCATGATAAGGAAGATATGAAAATGCTAAAGCTTCAAATTATTTCAGAATTCTACTCTCTGGAGATATTATTCTTAGCGTGTAGCATTTTGAGGTAGTCAAGAATCTTAGATGGTAGCATTGAGTTTTGGATTTTATTCTTTAAATTAGGTGATCATGTTTTATTCATTAGTTTATATTGTTACTAGTCCTTAATATTTTTGTTTTGTTTGCTGAATTGTCTTTTTGCAACAAAGGATTTATTTTTTATTTTTTAGGTCATACAGTGGTTGCTACAAGAAAAACTGTGTGCCCTACAGTGTGCTGTGTTTGATAAGACGTTGGCAGAATTAAAAACTCGAGTGGAGAAGATCGAGTGCAACAAGAGGCATAAGACAGTGCTCACCGAGCTGCAGGTCTGTCCCTCGTACCCGGTCTGCAGCCTTGTCAGCCTTACGCCCGGGGGGTCATGTAGAATTTATCTTCTGATCCTGTGGTACCACTTTTATATCTTTGAGGTTGAGGACAAAATACGTTTACATTCTATATAAGAAGAAAAAGTGTCTGTTACTAGTTTTTGCTGGGGCTGCTGTGAAAACAGAACCATACATAGTGGCATGCTTTACAGAATGAAATGTATCACGTCATTAGTTAGAGATGGAAACCCAAGATGAAGGTGTCAGTAGAGTAGTTTTCTCTCGAGGTCGAGTATAGTGAGGAAGGACATGTCATGTCTCTTCTCATGTGCTGACAGCTTTGTGGAGGCATCCTTTCCATTCAAACCGTTCTCTGTGTGTGTATCCAGATTTCTCTATTTTGAAGGTACCAGTTACATTTATTAGATTAGAAGGGAAAATCTCAGTGCAACATGACTTTGTATTAGTTAATTATTTTTGCAGTGACCCTGAGATACTGTTGTAGACTTTATGATATGAGCTTTGGTATAGTTTAACCCGTAGCAGAGACTTCGAAATTACCTAAGTTTGTACTTAAGTTTTTCTTGGGGGTGGAAGTTTGGGGGTATTTTTGCATCTATGTACTTCCTCTGTGGATATTATGCTTTAATGATAGTTTATCATGTTGGTGAGATGATTTGTTGGTTAAGAGCATTGGCTGCTCTTTCAGAGTACTTAGGTTAAGTTCTCAGCACCCACATAGTCACACACAACTGTTTGCAACTCCAGTTCCAGGGTATCCAATACTTTTTAACTGGTCTCCTCGGACAAAAGACACATACATAGTATACATACATGCAAATATGCCGATGGAAACATTTGTGCACATAGAATTTTTTTTTAAAAAAAAGGTGCTATCTAATCCATATTAAAAATAAATATGTTTGTCGACTTATAGTTACGGATTATCTTGAAGTTCTAGATCCCTAGCTCACCTGAATGCTAGGATTATGAGCATATCTGGTGATTGAGATCAAACTCAGGGCCTTGTTCATGTTAGGCAAACACTCTGCTAACTGAACCACATCCTCAACTGCTGCTTTCACTCCCTGCCCAAGTACTTCTTTATTCAATCATTTAAGCCCCCCTCTCACCTCCCAAAAAAGTTTAGTATATTTCCCAATAATTCTGCAAGGAGAATGAAAATGGATATAGAATGAGTCCTTTTTTTATCATCATCATCACAATCTTTTTTTATTCCTACTTTGGCTTAAATTCTTCTTTATCAGATGTGTAGGTACTTACACCAGCTTGCTTTCAGTTATCATTTGCTTGGATTATCATTTTCCATTTTTTTCATATTAACTCTTTAACAGTTTGATGTGTTTCTTGCAGGCAATAATCAGTTGGATTTTCTTCCCCCTATTTTAGTCTGACTAGCTTATCTGCATCTTTGAAGTAGAAAATAAAGATGATTTACTTTTATTGCTGAGAATTATGTTCTTATTCCTGGAATTCTGTCTTCTTTCATGATCCTTGCTCCTCAGTTGATTTGAACGCTCTTTCTTTCTCCCTTCTTACAAGTTTGCTGGTTCACTGTGTTAAACTCCTTTCATTTCCTAGTTCTGTTTACACATATTTTCTCATAGAATTCATCCTTTTCTAAACTTTTGTGGTTGTGACTTTCCTCTTTGTGTATGTAGGATTCTCTGATTTTCTCTAATTTTGATTAAGTTGTCATGGTTTGATTTAGTGTTTGTTTAGAGGATAACTTTTTTGAATATAATAACCAGTTGGGTAGTGATTTACCTGAAATAACATTCCATGATTTCCTGGCTTTGAGTTTTACACTGTATTACAATTCTAATGGATTTTCCTCAGATGGCCCTTCACTTTCGTAACTATCAGCATTCTTTGTTGAGTACTCTTGATAGTTTAACTACAATGTGACATGAAGAATCTCTGTCTGATCAGAGCTGTAAATTCCTTTTATATGTGAAGGTCTGTATCTTCTAAATCAGGGAAATTTTCTGCTATAATATGATTGAATAGATTTTCTATGCTTTTAGTTTGCATCTCAGTTTTTTGTACCTCGTGGATTAAGTTTGGTCTCTTGATCAAAGTTCCTGAAAGTTGTGGTCATGGTTCATTATTCTTATTTTCCTTTATTGTTATATGAATATAAGAATTTCTTTACTTGTTTTTAATTTTTAATATTCTTTATTCTGATTGATATGGTCTTTGGGTGATGCTTCCTACTGAGGTTATATAATTGACCTTTTCATTTCTAGTATTCCCATTAATTATATATTATTCTACAGAATCTCTCTTTGTTAAATTTGAATTTGTTATCTTAATGCCCAAACTTGATTTACTGCATTTAATTTCATTTTTTTTCCCCATTGAGGTGCTTGTTCTTTTTAAAATTAGATTTTTGAATTCTTTGTCTGGTATTTCATTTTGTTGTTTTTGGAGTCACTTATTAAAGGGTCATTAACTTTTGGAGAACTCTCATTTTTCTGTGTTTCTTCTCTTCATGTATCTGTTGATACTTCTGGTTTTATGTAGGGTTGTCTTAGCTGGCTGTTTTCTCTTGAGGTTTTAGTCTCTTACGCCTGTATGTATGTCTGATGTGTTTAGAGGTCAGAAAATTTCTTAGAACTGGAGTTACAGATGGTTGTGAACCACCGTGTGTGTCCTAGGAATTAAACCTAGGTCCTCTGGAAGAGCAGCCAGTGTTCTTAACTACTGAGCAATTTCCCCAGCCCCTGGTTTCAGTCTCTTTTACTCCTTGGAGAAGAGAAAGCATACCATAGTAACAACTGCTATTTAAAAAACAAACTTAGATGTTAAATTTTTTATTATGTTTATTTATTATGTATATGTGTGTATGTGTGGGTGTAGACGTGCCATGGTGCATATGTGAAATCAAGAAGACAGCTCTCTTTCTGTTCTGTGGTTCTGGGGGATTAAGTGCTGGTTGTTGTCTTGGTTAGAAGTGCTGAGCCGTCTTGTACAGCATCCTTAAATGTAACAAAAGAGTTAGAAACATTTGGTCTTATACTCAGGGTGAAAGAGCAAAGGCTCAGGAAATATTTGAGAAACTCAGGAATTAATTAAACCACAGCTCATTAGAAATGGAGAACAGGGCCGGGCGGTGGTAGTGCATGCCTTTAATCCCAGCACTTGGGAGGCAGAGGCAGGCAGATTTCTGAGTTCGAGGCCAGCCTGATCTACAGAGTGACTTCCAGGACAGCCAGGGCTACACAGAGAAACCCTGTCTCGAAAAACCAAAAAAAAGAAAAAAAGAAATGGAGAACAGTATAGGGAAAGGACAGAACAAGAATGGTAACATTGTGAAAGATGGGATGGACAGGCTCTGAAAGATTGAGAGCTGTAGTGAGCAATAGCAGAATGTATCCAGAGCCAGAGGAGCAGCAGGGACCAGCCGACTCCTCCTTGTTGAAGAGGAATTTTAGGAGTGCTCTGGTGTATTCCCTAAGCTCATCAGTTAGCAGTTCACTTTAGAAGGCCCAGGGACACTGAATTGTTTTCTCTGAATTCCAAACGGGGTAGACATGAAAGGTTTTTGCCATCTAAGCTCCCTTCATCTTTGAAAGGGTAATTTATAAGCCCTCATCTGCCCATCTGTAGATAGTCAGTAAAGCCTTTCTGAAAAACATTTAGAAGACTTCCACTAGAATATGCACTGAGAATTCCACTTTAGTAAGTAACATTAACGAAATATTCTGAAAGAACAAACCTAACAATTACAGCCTCGTATAACTATAGCAAGGCACTAGGAAATACTAAATTGATTCAATAAAGAAACAAATTTTTTTTTTTATATAATCAGCCACTAGTACAGTGGTTCTCAGCCTGTGGGTCACTACCCCACTGTTGGGCTACATATCAGATATCCTTTATATTAGGTATTTACAATTCATATAGTAACAAAATTGCAGTTACAAAGTAGTAATGAAATAATTTTATGGTTCGGCATCTTGACAACATGAGGAACTGTGTTAAAGGGTTGCAGCATTTAGGAAGGTTGAGAACCACAGACCTAGCAGGAAAGTGCATGTACAAATGAGTCAATGCAGTACATAGATATCCAAGTAGTTTTGTCCAGGAATCTCTTACATGACTTACATGTATACTTCTATGCCTATATGTTTTCAGTAAAAACTTAAGTGTGATTATAGCCATTTTGAAAAATAGCTGCAAATAAAGTCTTACATGTTCCAAAATAATCCGGTGAGAACGAACACACCAGCTGTGGTTAAGGGCAGACTGACCTAACCTGTTTGTACCTGGCAGTTATTTCAGGGACTGCAGTGGGTTTCCTGTGATTTTTCTCTGTTTTTCAATATTTTACAGCCATCTCATCTTCCTTTTTTTTTTGTTTGTTTTTTTTTTTGTTTTGTTTTTTTGTTTTTTTTTTTTGAAGAGCCAGAGCTGTATATCTTTGACTTCTCCTCTGTGTATCAGGCTTAAAAGGACAGTCTAACACTTGACTTTTATTTGTTTCTTTTCTAGGCCAAGATAGCCAGACTAACCAAACGTTTTGGAGCAGCCAAAGATGATCTTAAGAAAAGACAAGAAGTAAGCCTCTCAGTTTAGTCTTCATCAGTGCTCTGGTTCTGGGAAGAGACACCATGACAGTGGCAACTCTTATAAAAGAGAACATGTATATATACCATGTATATATACCTCTATGCCTGTATGTTTTCAGTAAAAACTTAAGTGTGACTACAGTTGAGAGTTTCCTTTATTGTACTGTGGAAAGCATAGCAGCATGTATACAGACAGGTGCTGAGAGGGAGCTGGGAGTTCCTGGCAGTTAGGGGTTGGGGGTGAAAAGGAGAGGAGATAGAGACAGACACACACGTACAGAAGCTTGAGCTGTCTTTAACATTATATTTTTAAAGACTGAACAGATAGCTTGATTGGTATGTGCTTGACTAGCATGCAAGAAACACTGGAATCCATCCCAGCACCTGAGGGGAAGGAGGCGGGAGAATCAGAAGTTTAAGGCCTTCCTTGACTATAGAAAGTTTTATGACAGCCTAGATTACAAGAAACTCTGTTTCACAAAACAGAAGTCATGTTTTGGAGACTGTCTTACCTTGTTTACTTCTTTGTCGGTTCTTGATAGTGTCTTACTTTGGTTTGTATTTTCCTTACAGTCATTCATCTATTGTGCTGTTACTGTAGGATGCAGATGATAATTAGCTTGTGTCTTTCTTGTTGCCTTTAAGAGTTTGAACATTTTTTTTTTAAAATACCAGCACAGCCTTTGTCTGACTTTTGCTTGTTGGTTTTTCTTTTTTTTTTTTTTATTTCTTTATTAGTCCATTATATTTTTATTCCTAACTTAGTATAGCAGCTTAAGTTTGTTCTTAGTTGAGTAAACAGCATTTCTGTGTTGTGATAACTCCATTATCTGTACATGGTGATTGCTAACGGTAACAATGTCACAGTCATCATTAGTCCGAGAGCCTTTCCGTTATTGACATAGTCCATACCACATCCTTCTCCTGAAGAATTTGAATTACTGTTCTTGTTGCCTGCAATCACCATGTAGTGGGCCTGCATCTCTCTTAGGTCTGTGACCGGTATATAAATTGATGACAGCTGCCTGTGTAAGTTCCTTCCTTTTTATCTATTCCTTCCCTGGGAGAATGATAGATTTTCAAGAGATAATCCATCTTCCCCAAACAAAGCCATTTGTAAGGTTGGCTTGAAAAAAGAAACGTGAGAGAGAGCTTTAGATTTCACATATTGTCAAGAAAATGAAGAAAAAGCATCTGAAGTCTAGTGGGTCTCAGATGGATCACAGTGTTGCTGCTGCCCAGACCTCATTCTAAACTGAGAAGTTTGTGAGACTGAAGAATGTTGTCACCGTCCTTACTTTGGTAATACGTTCCACACTTGATGTTTCTGTATGGTTTAAAATGTGGAGTGAGTTACTTCAAAGAAGCATGAAGTTCTGTGAAACCTGTCAGAAAGAGAAGTGGCAGCATATTTCCAGCTGTGACCGTGCATAGAGCTTAGTGCTTTCACAGGTCGTGAGCAGTGTCACTGTAGGAACCCCTGGGCTTGCTGTCCAGCAAAGGCCACTGCTCTGGGGCCCGCCCTCGCCTTACCCAGAGAGAGCACTTCCACATGACCTCTGAGTATTCTGAGAAACATTCAAGCAAATTGCCAGCTCCTAAAGAGAAGTCCAGTGTGTAGAACTCTCTACTGAGTTAGAGAAATCAACATCAGAAAGAAAACGACTGAAGTCACCAGCTGGAGATTAACGAAAGGAGACATTTTTAGGCTTAGGAAGAAAAAATTTCAACAAAAGATAGGAAAAGACAAAGTGATGTTGTCTGATCTTGCAGTGTTTTCTATTGTATTAGTTAAATAACAGATCGAGAAATGAGAAAGCCTTGAAGGCGTTTTTTAAACAATTCCTATATATTGGAATTTATTATTTACGTCCTTATTTCCCCCTTCCAGATCCCTCCAAACCCACCCATATCACCAGGAAAGCCTGCCAGTGATGTCAACAGCAATAATAATGTGTCCTACAGGTGAGACCTGTGTCCTCTTTATCTATTGCTTATGATAGAAAGCAAGGTTAATCTTGGCATATAATTGTAGGTACCTATGCTGCAGTTAATGGTATATTGGGTATTGAACATATATTAGGTCACCTAATTGTGGGTTTTTTACTTCTCCCTTAAAGTATGTATTGTTTTTGTGAATTTGTTTTGCTTATTTTTGTTAAGACTTTTAAAACTTTTTAAAAAGAAAGTTATTTATTTATTTTCAGGCTTTTTGCATTTTGTTTGTTTGTTTTTTAAAATTCACTCTACATCCTGCTCACTTCCCCCCTCATAATCACTCTCTCCATAACCCTTTTCCCCTCTCTTTCTCCAATAATGGGTGGCTTCCTCTGGGTATCACCCTGCCCCTTGGTGCTTCAAGTCTCTGTGAGGCTAGGTGCATCCTCTCCCACTGTGGCTAGACAAGGCATCCCACCTAGTAGAACATAGCTGATATACAGGTAACAGCTTTTGGAATAGCTGGCCCTCCTCCCCTTCAGTTGTTCTGGACTCACATGAAGACCAAGCTGTACACCTTCTACATATGTGCAGAGAGGCCTAGGTCCAGCCAGTGTATGTTCTTGATTTCTTTATACATTTTGGATATTAGCCTTCTGTCAGATGTAGGGTTGGTGATAATTTTTTTGCCCAATCTGTAGGCTGCCATTATTGACAGTGTTCTATGCCTTACAGAAACTTTACAGTTTGATGAGGTCCCATTTATCAATTGTGTGTCTTAGAGCCTGAGCCATTGGTGTTCTGTTCAGGAAATCATCTCCTGTGTTCAAGGCTATATCCCATCTTCCCTTCTACGAGAGTTAGCGTATCTGGTTTTATGTTGAGTTCCTTGATCCACTTGGACTTGAATTTTGTTCAGGGTGATAACTATGGATGTATTTGTATTCTTCTACATGTAGACATCCAGTTAGTTTAGTACCAGTTTTTGAAGATGAGTTCTTTTTCCATTGCATGGATTTTGGCTTCTTTCTCAAAAATCAAATGTCCATAGGTGTGTGGGTTTATTTGTCTTCAATTCAATACCATTGATCAGCATTTCTGTTTCTGTACTGATACCATGTAGTTTTTATCACTATTGCTCTACAGCTTGAGGTTGGGGGTGGAGATTCCTCCTGAAGTTCTTTTATTGTTCAGGATTGTCTTGGCTATCTTGGGTTTTTTGTTTTTCCATATGAAGTTGAATATTGTTCTTTCTAGGTCTATAAAAAATTGTGTTGGAATTGCATTGAATCTGTAGATTGCTTTTGGTACGATGGCCATTTTCACTATGTTAATCCTACCTATCTATAAGAATGAGAGATCTTGCCGGGCAGTGGTGGCACACGCCTTTAATCCTAGCACTTGGGAGGCAGAGTCAGGTGGATTTCTGAATTTGAGGCCAGCCTGGTCTACAGAGTGAGTTCCAGGACAGCCAGAGCTACACAGAGAAACCCTGTCTCGAAAATCAAAAAAAAAAAAAAAAAGGAATGAGAGATCTTTCCATCTTCTGATACCTTTCTCAATTTTTTTCTTTAAGAACTTGAAGTTTTTGTCATACAGATCTTTGACTTGTTTGGTTATAGTTAATCCAAAATATTTTATATTATTTGTGGCTATAGTAAAGTGTGTTGTTTCCTTAATAACTTTCTCTGCCCATTCATCATTTGTATAAAGGAGTGCTACTGTTTTCTTTGAGTTAATTTTGTATCCAGTCACTTTACTGAAAGTGTTGATCAGCTGTAGGAGTTTTCTGGTAGAAGTTTTGCCTTTGGTTATGGATACTATCATATCATCAGCAAATCATGAGACTTTGACTTCTTTCTTTCCAATGTGTATCCCCTTGATCTCCTGTAGTTGTCTTACTGCTTTAGCTAATACTTCAAGTACTATATTGAATAGATGGGGAAAGAGTGGGCATCCTTCTCTTGTCCCTGACTTGAGTGGAATTGCTTTTAAGTTTCCCTCCATTTAGTTTGATGTTGATGATAGGCTTGCTGTATATTGCTTTGATTATGTTTAGATATGTACCTTGTACCCCTCATCTCTCTAAGACTTTTAATATGAAGAGGTGTTGGCTTTTGTCAAACGCTTTTTCAGCATCTAATGAGATGTTCATGTGAATTTTTTATTTCTCTTCGCGTTTGTTCATATAGTGAATTATGTTGATGCATTTTCTTATATTGAACCACCCCTGCATCCCAGGGATGAAGCTTACTTGATCATTATGGATGATGTTTTTGATGTGTTTTTTGATTTTAGTTTGTAAGTATTTTTTGAATATTTTTTTTACATCAGTGTTCATAAGAGAAATCAGTCTGAAGTTCTCTTTCTTTGTTGAGGCTTTGTGTGGTTTAGGTATCAGGGTGACTATGTATTCATAGAATGAGTTTGGCAGTGTTCCTTCTGTTTCTATTTTGTGGAATAGTTTGAGGAGTATTGGTATTAGCTTGTCTTTGAAAGTCTGGTAGAATTCTCCACTAAAACCATCTGTCCCTGGGCTTTTTTGGTTGAGAGACTTTTAAAGATGGCTTTATTTATTTCTTTAGGGGCTATAGGGCTGTTTAAATAGTTTACCTGATCTTGATTTTGGTATGTGTTATCTGTCTAAAGAATTGTCTATTTTGTTAAGATTTTCTGATTTTATGGAGTATAGGATTTAGAAGTAAGACCTAATGATTCTTTCAGTTTCGTCAGTGTCTATTGTTATGTCTCCCTTTTTACTTCTGATTTTGTTTATTTGGATATTGTCTGTCTCGATCAGTTCAGCTAAGGACTTGTCTATCTTGTTGATTTTTCTCAAAGAACCAGCTCGTGGTTTTATCAATTCTCTGTGTTATTTTCTTTGTTTGTAATTGATTGATTTCAGCCCTGTTTTTGATTATTTTCTGCCTTCTACTCCTATTTGGCTTGCTTGCTTCTTGTTTTCCCCAGAGTATGGGATATGGGAATATTGTGCCTTCATTTTCATTGAATTCTAAAAAATCTTCATTTATTTCTTTATTTCTTTATTTCTTTTCTGACTCAGTGATCATTGAGTAGAGAATTGTTCATTTTCCATGAATGTGTAGGCTTTCTGGTGTTTCTGCTGTTGTTGAAGTTCAACTTTAATCCATGGAGGTCTGATAAGATACAAGGCATTATTTCAGTTCTCTTGCGTCTTGAGGCTTGCTTTGTGACTGAGTATATGGTCAATTTTGGAGAAGGATCCATGGGGTGTTGAGAAGAGGTATATTATTTTGTGTTTGGGTGAAATATTCTATAGATGTCTGGTAGGTCCATTTAATTGAAAATGTCTGTTTCATTATTTCTCTGTTTTTGTCTGGATAATCTGTCAATTGGTGCAAGTTGGGTGTTGAAGTCTCCCAATATTAATGTGTGGGGTTCAAATGTGTAATTAAGCGTTAGCAATGTTTCTGTTACAAATGTATGTTCATAGATTTTCCTTTGATGAGTATGAAGTGTTTTTCCTTGTGTCTTTTGATTAATTTTGGCTGAAAGTCTATTTTATTAGATATTATAATGGCTACCGCAGCTTCCTTCTTGGGTCCATTTGCCTGGAAAAAAATTTTTCCAGCCCTTTACTCGGGGTAATGTCTATCTTTATTGCTGAGGTATGTTCCTTGTATGCAGCAGGATGATGGCTTCTATTTCCACATCCACTCTGTTAGCCTGTGCATCTTTATTGGGGAATTGAGTCCATTGATGTTGAGAGATATTAATGACCAGTGATTGTCATTTCCTGTTATTTTGATGTTGGTGGTGTTAATATGTGGGTATTTGTATGTGATTCCCTTGTTTTTGCTAGTACAGATTTACATATGTCCTGTGTTTTCTTGGATATAGTTATCTTCCTTGGGTTGTAATTTTTCTTCTAGTATTTTCTGTGGGACTTGATTTCTGGATAGATACTGGATTTGTCTTAAATATCTTGTTTTCTCCATCTATGGTAATTGAGAGTTTTGCTGGGTATAGTAGTCTAGGTTGGCATTTGTTGTTGTTGTTGTTGGTTTTTTTTTTTCTTTTTTTCTTTTTTTTTTTTAAAGAGGTTACAAGACATTTGTCCAGGCCCTTCTAACTTAGAGTTTCTATTAAGAAGTTGGGTATAATTCTGATAAATCTGCCTTTGTATGTTACCTGGCCTTTTACCCTTGCAGCTTTTAATATTCTTTGTTCTGTAGATTTTGTGTTTTGATTATTATGTGGCAGAAGAGAATTTTCTTTTCTAGTCCAGTCTAGTTGATGTTATGTAAGCTCCTTATATGTTTATAGGTATCTCTTTGTTTAGGTTGCGAAATTTTTCTTCTATGATTTTTGTTGAGAATATTTTCTGGACCTTGGAGCTGGGCCTCTTCACCTTCTATTCCTGTTCTTAAGTTAGGTCTTTTATTGGTATCCCACATTGGATGTTTTGTGTCAGGAATTTATTTATTTATTTATTTATTTATTTATTTATTTATTTATGCCTCTTAAGTATTTAATTATTTGATTTGAACAAGGAAATAAGAAAAAAAAAACCAAAGTGGTGGAGATGGGCCTGGCTTTACCACTTTTTATACTCAGTTCGTTCTACTTTCACGTCATCTCCAGTTAGCTGATAAGTGACCCTGGTAGAAGCCTGGATGTCCATCAGCACAAATGATGGAATAATATTTGTTTCCAAGGCATTATAGGCCCCAGTGTCAAAACCTGGGTTAATGTAGAATTTATTTTCATGCTCAAATGCTTCAAATTTGTGCGTGTGTCCTGAGGTAAGAATGTCCACGTCAAACTGCCTCTGCAGCTGGGCTAAGCCAGCCAGGTCTCCCCACAGGATGACTTGGTGCCCGTGGATCAGACCGATGTTGAGCTGCCCTACAGTCACAACCTTCTGTTCCAGGGAATTCAGATTCTCATCAAAGTCTACTCTCACGATGTGGACATCACCAGCCAGAGTCTTGAGACAGTCATAGCTCTCCTTGGTGCAGAGGTTTCCAATGCAGAGATTGCTGGTTTTTTCATGGCACCAGGAGTTTTTTAAATTTGGCTGGCAGGCTGTTGCACTGGTGTGGAATGTGCACATCTAATACCAACATCCTGTCACCAGGCTCTCTCTTCCTCAGGCTCCTTGGTCCAGGAATTTTTTAGATTTAACGTTTTCTTTTACTGATGTCTCAATTTCTTCTATAGTATCTTCTACACCTGAGATTCTCTCTTCCATCGCCTATATTCTGTTGGGGATGCTGTGTCTGTTGTTCCTGTTCTCTTCCCTAGGTTTTCCATCTCTCAGATTCCCTCAATTTGTGTTGTCTTTATTGCTTCTAGTTTCACTTTCACATCTTGCATAGTTTTATTTATTTCCTCCACCCCCCTATCTTTAAGGAATTGATTTCCTCTTTAAAATCTTCTACTGTTGGATTGTATTTTCCTGTAGTCATTTCTTCTTTAAAGGCCTCTACCATTTCTACCCTGGTTATTTAAATCCTGGGTTTAAGGGTTTCTTGGGCACTTCTTGTGTTAGGATAGCCAGAGTTTGCTGTGGTATAGTAGCTCTGCTCTGAAGGTGTCATAGTTTTCTGGCTTTTGTTGATTGTGTTCTTTCGAGGGCCTTTATCCATCTGGATGGATGGCTTTGGTCCCTGGATTTTCCTGTAGTAGTAGGTATTGGGAGGAGGGTTAACTTCGATGGTCCTGGTGTAGCAGGCCTCTGATGGGTATCCTTGGACTATATGGTTCCTGAGCCTCAGGTCGGATGAAGGTGGGTAGAGATGTGTTTGGGAGACTGGAGCTCCGCCTGGACTAGCAGGCTGCTTAGGGTAGCTTGGCCTGGCCCAGTGGACTCAGTGAGCAGGGAAGATGGGTGGGAGACATGAAGCTTACCTGTATGGTTTAGGATTCTAAGGTCTGATAAAGTTGGGTGGAGAGGTGTCCAGAGAATCTGACTTTCTTTTTTCTTTACTCTTGCAGTGTTAGTTATTAAATATATAGGACTCACCCCTCCCCCAAACCCTATGTATTCCTTTATGAGCATGTCATTAGTAACTTTTAGCAATTAAGAATTGCTTAATCAGTGATAAGAATGTGCCTGTGCCTGTATTTAGTCTTCAGGTAACATACTGACGATGTTCTAACATAAACAGGACTCCTGTGCAGTGCTAGCTATCGCACATGGAGTGGCCTGTGCACCAACCTTGTCTTCAAGTATAGGACACAAACCACAAATGCCATCACCCTTTTCACACCATGGGCCACTATTTTTCCTGTCCTTTGGTGGGTCTCTCCTAGGATGACATAGGCATTGACTGTCCATGTATCTTTTTTTATAGAAATGCAGGCACAGTGCGACAGCTGCTGGAGTCCAAAAGAAATGTTAGCGAGGGTCCACCATCATCCTTTCAAACTCCTGTGAATACAGGTAATGTTGTTGTTGTTTTTAATACCAACATACATTTTCTTGGACCCTAATATCTTTGGTTCTCTTATATTCTTTTGTGTTTAGAAATGGGTTAGAAAACAGGGCACTTTGGTATAAATACAAGTATATTTCAAAAAAAAAATTTCAGCATTATAAATAAGTAAGCATGTACATATAGATGTTCAAGTTCCTAGTACAGTGCTTCTCAGACTTCTCAGGTTTAGGTCCTCACAGTCCTGTGCAATTGCTAAGAAGTCCAGAGGATTTTTGAGTTAAACTAATTGGTATAACCAATTAAGTTAAAATAAAAATTTAAGGACTTTTTGTTCACTTAAAATTAATAATAGAGGGTCTGGTGAAGGGGCTGGAGGCGCCATGTCGGGCCGGGAAGGTGGCAAAAAGAAGCCCCTGAAACAGCCCAAGAAGCAGGCCAAGGAGATGGACGAGGAAGATAAAGCTTTCAAGCAGAAACAAAAGGAGGAACAGAAGAAACTCAAGGAGCTAAAAGCCAAGGCCGCGGGGAAGGGCCCCCTGGCCACAGGTGGAATTAAGAAATCTGGCAAAAAGTAAGCTGTTCCTCACATCGGAGGTGACGTGACCCTCCTCCTCCATCCCTATGTAACCATCTGGATTCCCTGCCATAACATCTTTGCCACCTAATAGCTAGGATGAAGTGTTATCCTGGAGCCTGTTGTTGTACATTGTAATAAACTTTTGTAAAAAAAAAACAATGAATAAAGTGAACAATGCAATGGCTCGTTGTCTTTAGTGTTCAGCAATTCCTACTTCAGCTGTGAATTTAAAGTGAACCTAGTCTAGAATCCCACTAGAGCCTTGTTCCATCTTCATTGTATTCTGAATTCTGTACCACTTTGAATTAAACTCATTTAAAAGCCAAAAAAAAAAAAACAATTAATAATAAGCCTAGAGGCAGGCAGATAGATCTCTGTGAGTTCAAGGCCAGCCTGGTCTACGTAGAGAGTTCTAGGACAGCTTCTACATAGTGACACCTTGTCTAAGAAACGAAAAACATACCAAAATAAATTATAATAAGCTTGCAGTATGCACACAAGGAGCAGTTTTTTAAAAATAGAAAATAGCTTTAATTTTCAAATTTAAAAATGATTAGTGAAAGATAGAGACCTGAGTTCCATTTTGGGAATACACATAAAACAAATGAACAGATAAGTAAAGGCAGCCCGCATGGTGGACCACACCTGCAGTCCCAGCGCTAGAGAGGTCAGTCAGCAGGCTCTGGCCAGCCAGCCTACATGGTGAGTTCCAGACCATTGGGAGGGCCTGTCTCAACATAGAAGAAAAATAAAAGGCAGACAGGGGGTGACTGTGACTAAGATACGGAAGACTGTGTGTGAATCTGCCAGTGATTAAAGAAAAAAGTCATTGGCACCAGAGAAATGACACTGGAGCTGTGCTCTGCTCTCCACGTGTGCATGCACACATGGACATGCATGCACACATGAGCACACATGAGCACACATGGACATGCATGCACACATGAGCACACATGGACATACACACATGAAAATACGTGATTATCGTGAAAACAGGGAGATGTTGCCTTTTACATATTTTTTGAAAATCATATTTGATGTTATACAGCTAAAAGATGGCTGGCTTTTTTGTTTTTTTGTTTGTTTTTGAGACAGGGTTTTTCCGTATTGGCTTGGCACTCACTTTGAAGACCAGGCTAGGCTGAAACTTAGAGATCTTCCTGTTTCTGCTTCCCAAGTGGTAGATTATAGGCGTGTACCACCACTACCTGGCAAACTGGCTGAATTCTTATGTCTATATCTGCTCTTAATCCCTTCAGTCTACTGACTTTATACATGAAAGAAAGGTAGTCTCAGGGGCTGGAGAGATGGCTCAGTGGTTAAGAGCACTGACTGCACTTCCAGAGGTCCTGAGTTCAAATCCCAGCAACCACATGGTGGCTCACAACCATCTGTAATGAGATCTGATGCCCTCTTCTGGTGTGTCTGAAGACAGCAACAGTGTATTCATATATAATAAATGAATAAAAATTAAAAAAAAAAAAAAAGAAAGGTAGTCTCCCACAAGCAGACAGAAACAGTCTGGCCCTTTTAGACAGCTGGGCATTCTCCCTTGGTAGTTTCTGTGGGGTTAATGCAGAACTGAGTCAGAAATCATATTGATATGATTTTCTCATTGTTTTTCTAAGTCATTTTTGTTTTTGAAGAAAATAGGTCCCGCGGGGCATGGTAGTGCAGACCTGTAATTTCAGAACTCAGCAGACTATGGCATGTAGATCATAAGTTCAAAGCCAGTCTATGCTTTTACTGGAAGATGGGGCATAATAAAAATGATAATTTTTGTTACTTCTTTATGGAAATTTTACAGTGAAATTTACTTTTTGTTAAGTACGATAGTGAGCATTTGTTATTTAGGAGTTCAGTGTGACGAGCATTTGGGCCTTCGACACCACCTTGGATTTGTGTCCCCTTACCCAGAGATCATTTTCCATAGTTTGTTCCCATGGACTACACATATTACATGGGGCACTCCACAAATGATTCATCTTTTATCATAGTGTGATAATTATTCTATTTTATTATGATATACTTTTTTTGCTATGCTTAGTTTCTAGATTAAACTTTACTGTAAGGATACGTGTTCAATCCTGTGCCCCATAATGACATTTCAGTGAGTTCTGAGTGCACATGAAACAGTTACCTGGTGAGAGCATGATGGAGCCAAGAAGTTCTCTGTCAGCTGCTGAGTGAGGTCTTAGCTCTTTTACTGTTGTAGCTCAGCGTGTTACTCGTGTGTATGTTCTGTTCATGGGAATAGACCTGTAGCACTGTGAGCTATACCGACTGCAGCAAATAGAATGACGCAGGATACCCAACTACAAGTGTATTACGCTTTATTATATTTATCACTAGTTTACTGTAAGCTGATGTGCTATTTTATACTTGTAGTGGGTGCATATATTCCTTATTGACCATCCCACGACCCATGGAATGGTTGATGCATTCCAGTTAGATTTGTACAACCTTGTGATCATGCAGCATTGGCATTATGTAGTGACACATTTCTTAAAACATAACATGTTAAGGGTTAGGTGATCGCATAGGAAAAGACATACTGTGTGTAGGGTTCTCTACTGCCTGCTTTATGCATCACTGGGAATGAATACATGGTGTCTTCAGATATGGACCTGTCATAGTGCAAACTTCAAGTGACGTTGCAAACTCCATGCAGGGGTCTCAGGAAAGTACAGGTCTCTCTGCAGTCGCTGAGAATCATCTGGTGTGCCTGTGGTTTTAGAACGACTTGATATCTGAGCAGTAAATTAGCTTATGGTTCCAATGAGACTAAATCTTGGTAGTCAGCACGCATTCTTGTCCCTCTTAGGTATCTGCTCCATTTCTTAATTCATCTCTACTGTGCACTCGGTGCTTTTTCAGTGCCAAGTAAGGGTTATAGGGATTCTCTCCTAGTCAGTTCTTTTCAAGGACCTTGGGGAAACTGTCAGGTTTCCTACGGTTCAGATGGTAGACCTCAGTGATCACACTGTACTCACTGATGGCCACCTCTGTCTAGATGTCCTCCCTAAGTTAGATGTTGACATTTTCAGGCATTTATAATGTTGAAAATGAGGTTTTAAAAATACCTGTATAGTTTTATTTAGTTTTTGGTATTTTTTATTTTTTCAGTTCCTCTTAAGTGAATATGGTAATTTCAAAAGCTGTTTTGATATTAAGAGAGCTTTCGAATTAACATTAAATCATGTGACATTTCACAAGACACCAAATATATACATAAAAGTACTTCTAAGCTGGGGCAGTGGTTTCATGTGCCTATAATCTTCACATTCAGGAGGCAGAGGCAGGTGGATCTCTGAGTTCGAGGCCAGCCTGGTCTCCAGAGTGAGTTTCAAGATAACAGACAGGGCTACATAAAGAAACCCTGCCTTGGAAAACCAAAACAAGTAAAAGTACTTATAACCATTTCAGACTTTCAAACTTAAACCTGGGAATTTTTTTGTGGTGGCTTTTCTGTGTACATTGAATTCGTGTCCTATTTTTTGCTTGTCAGTTAAGGTAGTTGTTTAGACTGACTTGTGTTTTTTCTCTGTAGCGTCTTCAGCCAGTCATGCCACGTCTACAGCAGTTGTCAGTAGTCAGCCGAAGCTGCAGACCTCAGCAACCTCAGGTTCCCTGCCGGCAGCACCTCTTCTTCCTGCGCCCAGCACAGCCACAGTAGTCGCCACCACTCAGGTGCCTAGTGGGAACCCACAGCCTACGATCTCGTTGCAGCCCTTGCCCGTGATTCTTCATGTGCCTGTGGCAGTAACCTCTCAGCCTCAGCTCCTGCAAAGCCATCCAGGGACTTTAGTGACCAATCAACCATCTGGCAATGTGGAATTCATAAGTGTGCAAAGCCAACCTACAGTGAGTGGTCTTACCAAAAATCCGGTCTCCTTGCCACCCTTGCCAAACCCCACGAAACCAAACATTCCATCAGTGCCCAGTCCTAGTATTCAGAGGAACTCTTCAGCCCCTGCTGCACCTTTGGGAACAACACTTGCTGTGCAGGCCGTTCCAACTGCACATTCTATTGTGCAAGCCACGAGGACTTCTCTGCCCACAGTAGGCCCATCAGGACTCTATAGCTCGTCGAGCAGTCGAGGCCCACTACAGATGAAAATCCCAATCCCCGCATCATTTAGCACTTCATCTTCTGCAGAACAGAGTAGCTCTGCCACCCCACGAATTGGTAAGTTGGTTTGCTTTGTAACACAACACACTAAAGACCCTTTCACTCATTAAGCTCCTCCTAATGTCATTGGGAAAATGGGGTAAACAATTTGCTTGATTATTTTTAATAATTTTCTGAATACCTAATGATCCTATTAAAGTGGAGTGTGAGAGGGGTTTATTTAGTGTTCTTTCTTATTGAGGTGTATTTGTACAACTCTATGGGATCTGTCACAATTAACTTGATCCATGTATACAACATTTAATAATCAATTCAGAGCATTGAACTCTTTTTTGTTTGTTTGTTTGTTTGTTTGTTTGTTTGTTTGAGACAGGGTTTCTCTGTGGAGCCCTGGCTGTCCTGGAACTCACTCTGTAGACCAGGCTGGCCTTGAACTCAGAAATCCGCCTGCCTCTGCCTCCCAAGTGCTGGGATTAAAGGCGTGCGCCACCACCGCCCGGCGCATTGAACTCTTTATGTACCTCAAACAAGCATTTTCTTGTGTTGGGACTTTACCGCTGTTTTTTTCTTTATATCAGAGATGATTCTGGCAAGTGGTTAATTGCCTTCCTGTACCCTAAGATGCAGAGCTCTTCCTGATTTACTGTCTCCATGCCCCTTAGACACGTCTCCCCTCTGCCCCCACTTCTCCTTCCTCATGTCCCGCTTTCCCTCCTGTGTTGTAATTGAGAACAGCATTTCTGTTTGCTATTTTAGTAATTTATTTTGATGAGTTTTTTATAGTCTTTGTAGCTAGCGTTATACATGATTTTTATTTGTTTTTATGATAGGTGGACCAGGACAATTGAATAAACACATTTTAATGATCCAATTTTAGAGGCTTATTGTAAGAGAATATCTAAAACAATATATTGCCAGGCTGTGGTTACAGTGCATGCCATTAATTCCAGGACTTGGGGCAGAGGCAGGGGGATCTCTGAGTTCACAGCTGACCTGGTCTTAAGAGCGAGTTCTAGGACAGCCAGAACTACACAGACAAAACCAAAACAATAACAATAACAACAACAGCAACCCCGGTCTATCTTCTCTACCCAGTCAGAACCCTCCATGCATTCATCATGCAACAGCTTCTGAAGCTGAGCTTTTTTTGTTTTTTATAAACTGTTTGACTCCTTGTTATTTTCTCTTTTCTGTCATATTCCATAAGACATATTATCTAATTGTTGTATTTTACTTCAAAATTTAAGATGAATTTGGTTGCAACTGCTATTTGAAATTGCACACCTCTGTCCTGGCTAGCCTGGACCAGGCTGGTCTCAGAGAGGTCCGCCTGCCTTTGCCATGCTGGGAGAAAGGCACGTGCCACCTCACCTGGCCACAGGAACATTGTTAATGCTTGTGTTCCTAAGAAAGATCTGTCCTTTTAATCAGGTCAGAGGTCGAGCCAGCTAAGCTTCAGTTTTCCCTCTGACTTCCCAAAACTTCAGTATTTTTGATGTCAGATGATTTATAATAGACTTTATTTTATGTAATTTTGCACAGGATAACTGAAATTTTGAAACAAAGTTGGCATTGTTTTTAATTCATTTAATTCATTTACATTGAATTTAAGTAAATACAAAACTTTACTAGAAGACCATGGCCTCTAAACAAAGCTTGAAAGAGTGTTTAATGGTGTGAGTACTTGTCCCTTAAATTTGCACATTTCAGATGATTTCATCTGTAAACAGTTGATGATGCTGTACTCTAGAGTATACTATACTGTAGAGTGACCTAGCTGACAGCTGTTTGAGTAGCCATTTATCAGTCTGTTTCAGATTCGCTTTGCTATTCAGTGTTTTGTATGTAAGATTAATACTTCCCATAATCATTGATTGGTATAGCATTCTCTTTTTGAGATAATATGTTTATCCTTAAAATGTTTTTATTTTGGAGTCTTTATTTGATTATATTTATATAACTATATATAAACTATTGAAGTCCATTTGAAATTGCATTTGGTTTGTGATTAAACACTAATTTCTAGCTATTAGTAATGAATGTGAGTGGCACGTGCGGTGTTTCTACACTGTTCATTAGGAAGTATTTACGTAAGAGCCATGGCCAGGCTTAAGTACATATGTAAGAACTCTGGCGGTGCCTAATTTCGGGGATACCATGAATGACAGTAAAATGATCATTTGTCTTTTTAGATTGCCCGTAATATAAGTTGGCATCAAATGGAAAAGCTTTGCAGAGTATGAAAATTGAAGCTAAATTATATACCCTTATTGTTATAGATAATTATAATTATAGTCAAAACTTGCCATATCTTATGTACATATATTTAATAAATATGTGCTGTATAACTAGATTATATTTGTATACAGTTGTTGTAGTTTATTAAATCCTTTTAATGGATTTTAAGTAAATAGCACTTGTTTATAATGAAGTAGAGAGAGAGACTCAGGCCTCACATTGTACTCTATTCATTCAAGAAATAATTGGTGCTTGTGATTTTCTCAAGTCCTGCAGGCACGTAGAAACATATAAGGTATCCCCTTTCACATACCTTACAGATTAAATCTGCAGCCTTGCCATTAAGTAAGTAGCTATGAATGTCATAACTATTGTAGTATGCCCTTCTCTTTGAGAAGATGGCAAGGGGGATGAGAGTCCTTGAAAACTATGAGTTAGTGCCCCGGAAACGGAATCTATCATTATCATTACCCTTTTTTTTTGGGGGGGGGGCTTCTGGAAGAGTGTGGCATCCATGAATATTGATTGCAGTGTGGAAAATGGTTTGATAGGAATAGAATGAAGTTGTCGGTACTAGAAATGATGCATGCAGGAGGGGGGCATTAGATAAGATGGCAGCTTAAGAATATGCAGAGGAGAAAAAAATGGTGTATGTGATCATTTTAATAGAAGGTTAGACAGCAAGGGCTGGAGAGACAGCTCTCAGAGCTGGCTGCTCCTCCTGAGGACCCAGGTTTGATTCCCAATACCCAGAAAGCTGTCCACATCATTTCTAACCCTGTCTCAGGCGATCTGATGCCCTCCTCTGGCCTTCTTGGGTACCAAGGCACGCACATAGTGTTCATGCAGATATGCAAACAAAAGGCCTCCACACAGAAAATGGATCAAGTTCTTAAACAAAGATTAGTACTAGGAGAAATGTCAAACTTAACGATTGGATGTTTTTAATGTGCCTGTCTGTGTGTGAGGAGGAGAGAGGGTGTCGTGTCTACATATGAGGAGGATGGGGGTGTCATATCAGTGTGTGGGGAGGATGGGGGTGCCATATCAGTGTGTGGGGAGGATGGGGGTGTCATATCAGTGTGTGGGGAGGATGGGGGTGTCATGTCTACATATGAGGAGGTTAGGGGTGTCATATCAGTGTGTGGGGAGGATGGGGGTGCCATATCAGTGTGTGGGGAGGATGGGGGTGTCATGTCTGCATATGAGGAGGATGGAGGTGCCATATCAGTGTGTGGGGAGGATGGGGGTGTCATATCAGTGTGTGGGGAGGATGGGGGTGTCATATCAGTGTGTGGGGAGGATGGGGGTGTCATGTCTGCATATGAGGAGGATGGAGGTGCCATATCAGTGTGTGGGGAGGATGGGGGTGCCATATCAGTGTGTGGGGAGGATGGGGGTGTCATATCAGTGTGTGGGG